GACGATAATGTTGGAGGTTTTCTAAATTAAAAATTTTCAAACAAGGTAATTAAGAAATTGTGAGTGAACGAAGTAAATTTTTTCATAAAGCAACCGTAACTTACACGCTTAAGACGATAGTACACCATATCAAAAGTAAAACTATGGCTTCTAAGTTGCAAATTAGATAACTGCTGCATAGAGCTCCAAATGCACTGCGGAAGAGTGATCTCGTGCGTGTTATGTAAAGTGAGAAACCGTTGCTGAGCAGCCCAAATAAAGATACCTGCAATCCAATTCATCTTCGACAAATATGAGAAGTATTGTGTTAAGAACAGCTAGATTTATAGCTTCCAATTTTCTCCTCCATAACCGAAGTTGAGCTTTCTTCCTATTATAGATTCTAGCTTTCTATTTCCATAAATGATATTATCTCATCTTTTCTGACACTGTCATCCAAATAGCTTCGCTAAAGTATTGTAAATTGTCACTTCAGTGTTTCCAGAAATGAAAAGATTTAGACAGATATTGTATCATTCCTGCGATCTTCATGTTTGAGAGGTGCAGAAAATTAATGTGGAAAAAGAGAGGTTACCGTTGTGATACATAAAAGTGCAATTTGACCTTCGCCCAAAACAACACCGCCAGTCATCTCACGAAAACTGGTACTAAACTTAGTTCAGTTAAACCTTTTGCGCAAATGATAATTTTATTAAATCTACAATTCCATAGCAACTTGGCGATTATATCATGGTAATTCTATTTTCAGTTTAATTATGTGCCTTGATACCGTCAAATCACTCTTGACAAGCTATATTACGTTTGTTGCTAAGTCTTCTCTCTCAAATGACTGGTAATATAAACAAGAAAAGAAGTCCAAAACAAAGTTTTGTGGGCGTTATAGACTACTGTTGTTGAAGTATCCCATATGTTATCTTGACGCTAATTAATAATTTGGGATCCAACATATTTTCAACAACACTAAATATCTTCCTGTAAACATATGAAACAGTAAAGATAATTGAGCTTGTTGAAATTATCGATGGTCGGATACTGTTATGCTGCAATTTCAGAATGGTAACAATTTTTTTGTTTGTGACGCTCTAAGAGTTGTAAAAAATGTGCACTGTGCACTGGAATCGATCCAGACTGTCATACATTTATTAACACACCTATGAATTATGCAAGAAAAAAAAAGAAATCTTGGCAATGACAATAACAAAAATTCCCTGAAATTAGAATTTTCAAATAAAGTAAAAAATGGAGAAAAATTAGATGAACGGATGAGAAATGAAAATTATTTTCATAATTCATGTAGAGCTTACGTGCTTGGAACAATGCTACCTCACGTGAGGCGAACAAATATAGCTTGCAAGTTACAGATCAGAAAGCTACTGTATAAAATTCCAAACGTATTACAAAATCATGACCTTGTACGTGTCAAGTACAAGGATATGCCATTGCTAATTAGTCCAAAGACTGCTTACTACCTGGACGCATTCAGTGTAAATGTTTGAAATTAATCATCTTTATTGCTCGTGAATACAATGAGAATGAGAAGGATCGATGAGGTCTGAACTAGCATCT